GCCAAACACTACTCGTGCATCAAGCGCAAGGATGGCTCGTGCACCTGGTACCGTGGGGGGCCACCTCCCGAAAAGGACTTCCACAACGCCGTGGAACCCTGATCTGGCTCGCCACGTTCGTTCGTTACGTTCAATGTTTGGTTTCGTCTTTAAAATGAAAAGGCGCATCTATTTTGTATTTTATTTTTTTAGCCCCTTCTTAACAGCCAGACCTTTAATTTGACATGTATTGATTCTAATGAGTGTGTATAGAACATTGCTCTTCTGTTTTGCATTGAACAGGGCCGAATAGTGTTAGACGGGAGTGCTCTTGCCAATTCCATCTGGTAACCTATCAGCATTTGTTTAACAATCCTAGCTCTGCTAATGAGACCCAGAAGGTCGAAACTGATCCAGGGTTTGCTTGCTTACACAAATGCTGCCGGATAATGTTGAGTCAGGAAAGCTGCACGGCCGATGGACTAAAATATATTTTGTACATGTGAAGACACAAAGGAGAATTCTGCTGAAATGTGCTTGTATCTGTCTGTCGCTGTCGCCCCTTGCTGTCGCTCACTGTCCATTGCAAATGCCCCCTCCCCTCTCCCACTGCCCCCCCCACCAACATGTGTGGGTTCATTAAACGAGTGGGGAAATTACACAGAAAGTGGTGTCGAGTGATTTGAGAGGGCACTTCCATTTGGCTCGGTTAAAACCCCAAGGTCGCCGTGACCATTAGTTGCATCGGGGGGCTCCCGAAGGGTAATAATAGTCTTATCTACGAAGTTTTTTTTGTTGTTGTAAATAATTTATTTTAGATATATTCTCGTAGGCCCCACTATCAATATATAACTGAAATATTATTTTGTTTTAGGACGGATGGGAAATATATATATTTTTTGAGCGTGTGCGTTTTTCGTTTTAATTTTTCATTTTTTTACTTCGGACAATCTCGTAGATGTGCTCGGAAGTTGCAGAAGGGGGATGAACAAAACTCCAGGCCGTATCGGCGGCGGTAACCCTCTCGGTTCGCTTGCAGCTCGGGCAAATGAAAAAAAAAACATCCCGCTGTGTTAGAAGCACATGGCCTGGGGTTGCCAATCCCTTGTGGACACCGTCACCGTGCCCTGCTGCTCACAGAATGAAACGAGGCCTAAAACACCTCGATCAGCCAATTAAAGGACTCCGTTGTACAGTTTGTTTAGTTTGCTGTGTTCAGTGTCTCTTAACATGAAATGATGCAAGAAAATGTAATGTTTGTAGGAGGAAGAAAAAAACTTACACGATACTCGTATTTTATGTTTTCTTATCGTTTCATTTTGGACCAGCGAGCCTTGATGTACTCCTATTAGAATGCTTGAGAGAATGTGGTCCTTTTTTTGGTGACATGAAATCTAAAAAACGGGACCTCAAGGTGTACCCACACAATATGTAATGGCATTTGTATAACATTATATGGCCGAATATAACTTTTAAAGATCAGAATGTTTCGTGGACAATGTATTCTTTTTCTGAGATCCATTCATGCCATATTATTCGTTTCTTTGGTTATTTTTATTCATGGTTGGGGGGGGGGAGGCTTATTTTGGAGCTGGTAAATTTGTCACCGCACTGCATGGGCAACCCATTACTCTGCTTCTGTGGAAATTATAGCATACATTCAGCTTCAAGTCTCACCAGGAATGGTCTTTTATGTGGTTTGTAACTTTTTGTAATGTTTAATGCTGCTGGACTTCATCGTTAAACACATTTGACAAATATCGTTGTGGTTCTTGTTTTTATAATGCAGTACAGTACTAGACCTTGCCTATGACCAAATCACCCATCACCTGGAAAATCAGACGCTAAGCACGATTGAGCCTGGATAGTGCTCGGATGGGTGACCATCACCACAACCACCACCACCACCACGCACAAACGGCATGTTGGGCAGGACAGGGCCGTCCAGAAAAATCTATTGTTCTTGTGCACTCCTCCACAACCTTCACCAACCCGCACTGACCAGTGTGGTGCAGTATGGTCAGATGTCCCCTCGTGGCCCACAAGGTGTGCGGAGACCCACGGCCAACAGTGGATTGCAATGGACTGTGCATGCACCAGACACTCCACGTGCCCCTCGCTCACTTCCAGTCATACCAGCACGTCATCTTTACCGTAACGACGCAGGGAGCCTGGGGTCGGTTGCATAAATATACTTAAGTACACGATTCCCTTAGCTCCTATTTAAATCCGTGACAATAAAGGGAGAATATCACCTAAGACGTTCCATGCAACTGGCCAGAGGCCCTGATCTATCCAAGGTCCTGTAATTCCACTAAGTGATCCCGATGTCCAGCTTAGGTTGATGACCCAAGATCATTTGAAATTAAAAAGGTATTTTTGTGTTTTCTCGATAAAGATAAAAACAGTTTTGCAAGTCATGGTTAGATATGATAGGCCGAAACGTGTTTTTAGAGCACTGGTATTGTCGCTGGCAATGTACTAATGATGGTCAAACCCCATGTGACCTCATGTCAGCCTATCACAGAGCCAAGGGGTTAAAGTACCACAGTTTACTATTTTTGTATACATTATACAGTATCAACTTGTAAAACTAAATGAAACATTCACAGTTAATGCTTCGTTATTATTCCAATATCTTTAAAATTATTTAATGGAGTCAAATATCAGTATGCCCGAGATATGAGGGGGAATGCTCACATTCATCCCTGACAGAATACTTCCTGAAGCATAAACACAGAATGTACAACCGTGTAACTGTAACTTTTTCTACAAATGTTCATCGTTTATAATAAACCAATGCTCTTATTAAGCACATGTTACTTCATAAAAAAAATATATTAACACTATTCTCATTATTTCCTTGCTCTGAGAGTATAACAACAGTGTACGCTTTGCATTCTCTTAACTTTTGATAATTCTGCCTTGGGGTGTCAGGGCACGTGTTGAGATGCTGGTATTTCTGCCACCCTTGATGAAAACAAATTCTCAAGTGGTGGTTGAATTGAGTGTCTCCGCCTGGCCACCAGTGACTCCACGTAAAAGTCATTAAACAATTATTTTTCTCACTTAATTCGGCTAAGTTTAAGCTCTGAAAAATGTTATAAATATCGCTTTGACTGCAACGCGACGAAAATGTATTTGTAGCGGGATACGTGCGGCAAAGCACAACACCCCCAAATGTATGGATGCATTAAAGGTCGCTTGAACGGATCTCGGATGGGAGTTCTGTGGATATTTCCTTTCTGCAAGGCCTTCCTCTAAACCCACGTTCGGGACACCATTGCCGAAAGCGCGAACTTTAACGAACAATCGAGAAAAGACAAGAAGAAATAGAAAACTGCCATGACAGTTTAACAACAACAACAACAACGTTGCTTGGTTTTATCAACTCGCATGCAAATGTGACCTCACGGCCTTTATTCCAAATTTTGCGACCAAACCTCCGCCCCAATTCGACAGCAGCAATTGACCCCACGTGTCAGAGATGTTATTAATGTGATGCCAATGCGATTGCTAAGTCTTGATTTGTAAGTTACTATTAAATAAAATGAGCTGGTGTACTATATGAAGGGACTATGCCTTTGTTATTATTAGTATCAAAGGATGTCATGTTCATGATTGAGTCTGATTACTTAGTTGTACAGAGCAGGATATAGAACAGCAGGGATCGCATTCATGATATTAAGAGTTACATTTCCACCCATCTCACCAACCCCACTGGCCAGCGTGGTGATGATGTATGGTCAATTTACCACCATAACCTGTATGGTGTGAGGAGGCCCTCATCCAAGAGTCGATACACACACATTTACGTGTATACTATCATACTGGACGTCTGTGGAAAACAGCTTCATAGCTCACCGTATTCCTCCAGTCTGATCATCAACCCTCTGTGGTTGATCTTCTTGGTTCTTTCGGTAAAGCCACGTAGAAGGGAAATAAAAATAAAATAAAAATAAAACATAATAAAATAATTATTTTAAAATAAATTGTATTATGTTTTATTTATTTTATTTTATTATTTCCCTTCTACGAGACTTTACCGAAAGAACCAAGAAGATGAATCCCTGCAGTCACGAAAGCTTTAAACCTCTGTGGTTGCTCAAGTGAGTGTTACTACAACTTGCCGCTGGCAAGAATGTGGAAATTCCACTCCTGGCCGAGGAACACCAATCGAGATGAGTACATTTTAGTTTGATCTTTTTACTTTGAATTAAAAGTTTTGGATATCGTGAGCGGAAGCCCCGTCGCTTTTGTTTTTTTACCCCCCCCCCCCCCGCCTTCTGTTGGAAGCTGCTCACAGATCGACGAAATACAACACACGGGGGAAAGGGAGAGAGAACATGATACAAAGTAACCCACGTGGAGTGGACGAGTGGGGATCGTGAGCCCTGGACAGAAACGCACTCGGTCTTGCCAACATTTACCAATACGTAAACATTTCCCTGCAGATGACGACGAGACGAGGCGAGCCGCAGCACCGCTGCGTAATTGTGGTTGTGCCACTTTTGGTCCCAGGGGACACGGTGGCTGCGCAAGGCCCAAGCAAATCAAGCATCAGCTCAAAAGAGGGGCCCCAGGTTTCATGGACCAAAAAACATTTCTGCCTGCTACAAAGTTGCTGATTATATACTGTATATGTGTGTGTGTGTTTCAGAGCAGTGTTATTTATGGATGTGTTGTGTCTTTGTTATTTGTCCATGAAATATAGAGGCGGTGCATCAAACATCGGCTCAAATCTTAAATAAGCGTCAAGATAATTACTGTAACATTAAACAAATCTAAATCTATCCCATTTTGCCCACATTATCTTCCCTTATCTCACACTAGGGTTCATCTGGGCCTTTATATATTTTTCATCCCACCAAGGGGTTTATAAATTGAATGGCAGGGCTCCAAAAATTATTTCTGTTTAGGGCCCCCCCCCTTGCCACCCACCCCCCACCAGTGGGCCACCCACCCCCCCCGTTGCCACCCCCCCTTGCCATCCGCCCCCCCCCACTGGGGTGTAGACTTACCATCTCACGGTGGTCGGCAAAGAAGGACTGCTCGATCAATGGGAACCTTTTGCTCCCTAGGTTCTTGCGTATTCTGATCAGCTGCGAGAACTGGAGGAGAGAGAGACAAGAGAGCTGAACAGACAAAAAAGCAGGCTGTGAGACAGAGCGAAAGGGGAGGTTGTGATGGAGGGGGGTCCGATGAGTGGGAGCGGGTGAGTGGGGGGGGGGCAGTGTGCGTTGTGGCCGGGAAACTTGAGGGATCGTGGGGGGGGGGGGGGTAGTAGCAGGGGTGGGGGGAGAAGGGAATGGGTGTCGGTCGACAGGAGGTATTTTCACTTTTGTTCCGAGCGAGAGCAGAGCTGGAAAAATAAGAGGAGGCTCTGTATAAGTAGCGACGAAGCCCTACCCCGTGTGCCCGGCACTTGCACACCATCTGAATAGTCAATTAATGGCACATTCTGGTGAAACAAACTCAGGGCCTGCGAGCGAGCGAGTGAGTGTACATCTCCAACGCACACGTCAAACCAGTGCAATCATCTCCTGCCATGCGTTATGTATGTTGATGTGAAGACGATATATATATTAAAATCCCAGACACTGCAATATATAATTTATACGAAAAATGTAGATACAAATGCACTGCAAATCCATACCCCAATTATTGCTCACAAAGATCAGTAAAGTCTACCATAGTGCACTTTCTAAGACCTAGGATTGCTACCTAAAGGCATCTACTCATAGATAAGGTATTTAAATATGTGATGAGCAAATGTTTCTGTGATTTGAAAGGTATTAAAGTGAGACATTGTAGAATGTACAAAATTCATGAACCCCAAACAGCTTTAATGAAAGGCTCATGACTTAAAAAAACGCAACATGCGAAGAGAAAATACATTTAACAAACTTAATAAACAAACAAATAAACGGCCAGCCTTGCATGGGGAAATTTTCATTATTCTCATTGAACAAAAAAAAAACCCTTCAGAAGCATTCTCTGCATAATAATATCAGCCAAATAAATCCACGAATTTATTTTTATTAAATATAAAATATAGCGAGGCCACGATTAAGTTTACCGAATCCACCCAAATGTCTTTGGGAGTGTGCCCAGTGTGCTGCCCGAACACACCTCCCGTTGTTGTTTCCGAAAGCACGAGGATTGATGACCCAGGGCCCCATTGTGAGTGTGCAAATGGCGACGGTGACGCACTGTGGCGATCAGCATTCCCCCAGTAGCTGCCTCATTTGTTGGTCAGATGTGTGCCCAATGTGGAGCCCCAAGTACTGTATGGGACCGGATAAATTAATCATCATTACCATCAACATCATCATAAAAAAACACTTGTATTTTCCGCAATCGAGTTCCAATTATCCTATCGGCATGTCATGAGATTAAGTGTCCATTTGGAAATGTTGCAGAGCAGCACAACGCAGTGTGTTAAGAATATGGACCACAGAAGCAGACATGATAGAATTAATTCTGAAATTCTGACAAGTCATCTGCTGAACGACTGAGCAAGCAACCACTTCGATCCTTGGTTCGAATCTAGATTTTAGCCAGTCATGAGTAAATGGTTTCTCAAGTGGAGATAAATTGTGGGTCTCAGCCAAGTTACCATTAATTGAGCGCAAAACTTCACGTTGAATTAGTTTTTTTCATTTCATTTCACGACATTTCAGCTCTGAGAAATAAAAGTACCGGTTTGACTGTCACGTGATGAGTGGTTCACCGTAGGCATATATGTGGGAATGTGTGGCCTCGAGTGTATGAATAAAAATGTCATTTTAAGAGATCTCAAGGGCACTAGAAGGGATTTTGAATGTTTGGCTATGTGGGCCATCCTGTATCAAACGTGGCGTGCACTTATCTGCGAGATGTTTCCTCCTGGATTTCTTGTCACATGGCATTATGCCAATAGCATCATTGGAATACATTTTGGAAAAACAAGGCGATAAAATGGCCCAATATGAAATGTTCCATCCATCACAAGTAGGCCCCTCTTCTTGGTTCTTTCGGTAAAGTCACGTAGAAGGGAAGTAATAAAATAATAAAAATAAAACATAATAAAACATAATAAAATAATATAATAATTATTATTTTATTTTATTATGTTTTATTTTTATTATTTTATTACTTCCCTTCTACGTGACTTTACCGAAAGAACCAAGAAGATGAATCCCTGCAGTCACGAAAGCTTTAAATCGAAAAGTAGGCCCCTCTTGAACACGTGAAAATTTTTTGTCATTTTATACATAACAAAAATCGGGTGGAGTGGTGGCACAGTGGTTAGTGCACTGCGGTTTGAACCCGACCAACCTTAGTGTCGAGGGATATCTGAACGAGTCCTGACGGGCTTGCCAACCCACTCAACCCTCACAGTGATGAGCGTGTTGGAGGTATGGTCAAACAACGCCCGTGACTGATTCGGCGTAGGGTTGGCCTTTGTCCACCCAGTGGCTGTCAACTGTTTACCATTGTACAAACATTAATTTTACTTTAATTAAAATAACTTGGATCTCTTTCAAAAGAGACAATAAATCCCAGTGACTTTCAGCAGTTATATTAAACCAATTTTAATTTGTGAGATAGGGATTGCGATTATCATCCCCTCCCCCCTTCACTAACCCGGACAGACCAGCCTGGCAAAGTGTGGTCAAAAACCACCATAACAGTATGGGAAGGCCTTCATCCAGCAGTGGATTGACCAAGAGCTGTTCATACATGTCTTATTTCGACAGCCGCAGTGGGCATAACATGCAGCAAATGACACCACATGTTCACTCCCCAAATAGAATGGACACGCATGGCGGGGTCGACCACGCTCATGGCCTTGGGGCCCCTGTCTGTGTAATTTAATTCTCAATACTAATGCTTGCCACTGCAGTGGATGGTCCTACGCGGGCCTCCTCAATGACGCAGGTCAGACTGCAGGAATCGTGATCATTTGTATTATTTCCCCAGCAGTTTCCAGTCTCCCCGACCCACCACCCCCCCCCCCCCCCACTGGCAGCGGCTTCAGCGGGCACAGGTAATGGGGGATGGTTTGAAGCACCGGGGATTGATGTGTTTTTGAAAGGTTTGTCGTCACGGGGATTTGAGGCTCCCGCTAACAAAGGGTTGGCACCGTAGATGGATCATGCGAGCCGCTGACATGTTTCAACGCGAGTGATTATTGCAGAGTTAACGTTTCAAAAGGAAGTGGCCGTAGAAGGGTGCCTTGCAGAGTGACGGGTTATCCTGAAAAGAGTCCTGGGGCTCAGGAAGATAAGTACAAGAAAAGTCTAAGCTGGAGTGGTGTTCATCATCTTGTTTAGAGCCGTGAGCCAGTGGTGAAAATTCCACATTCCTATAACAGAGACAGGTTAATCCAAAGGGCAACTACGATTGACTTTTATGCAAAGCGGTAACTCCTTTTTTGTCAACCACAGAGAGATGAATGCGTGGGTCAACCCCCGACCGGGATTTGAAGTCACGTTCTTCTGACTCAACTGTACCAGCCCAGAAACGGCACTGAATGGCAACCACCAGCAGACATCCCCTTGCGGTGATGCCGGATGGGGGCCTCCCCACGTCGTGTCGGTCATGGGGGTTGTTTGAGCACGCTTCAACACGTTCGTTTGTGCGGGTCGCTGAAGGAGGGGGGTGGGGGTAGTGTTGGGGGGTGGTGGTGCCACGGCCGGTCGAGATATCATCCGCCACCGATGTAAGCCGTGGCCGGGAGTTGAACTCGCCGGATTCGTAGCGGCAGTGCGTTCAACCGCTGCTCCGACCAAAAAAAACACAAGTGGCGTATTTAAAACCAAGCAAAGCGTGGATAAAACAGATCGGGTGCGTGTGGGGAAAAAATGAATATTGCCGCGGCGGAAACTTTGCAACCCACCACCCACGGCTTGTCGCAGAAGGCGTGCACGGAGGAGAGGGGGTTGACGGCCGGAACGTCGCCGTACTCCAAGCCCACGAGCAGCGTCCGGAAATCGTCGCCCGTGCCGCGTGCCGGCTGCCGGACCAGCACGAAGTCCGGCTTGAACGATCTGTCCGTCGTGCAGCAGGGTAGGGGAGAGGCCGTGTGGTGGACGGAGGGCAGGGGGGTTTTGGGATACGGGGGCGAAGGAGGTGCGGATGCGACCGGCGTTAATGGGGGGGGGGGGGGGGGGTGCAAGGAGGAAAGAGCAAGATCACTTACGCAGCAAGAAATCGTCACCGGGAATTGTAAGTGGGGTCAAGCGGGCCAATTATATACAACGCATACAATTCAAAATAATACGACTATTATGTTCGTGTTACGATGTTATTTTACAGTTCTGAGTGTCCGTTCGGACGCGTTCCGAGAGGAGATGGAGCGATGAGATCAGCCCGTGCTCGGTGGATTGTTACATCGACGGATTGTGAGAGGTGGCGGTGGCTTTTGGGGGCCTTCATTCAGCAGTGGATTGACCATGGCTGATGATGATCATGATGGCAATTTTGTTTGCGCCAATAGCCAAAATGTAACATTACCACATTAATTGCAAACGTTGTAAGTGATCTATTCTCACACATATGGTGTGATGCACATTTATCGAACGTAACAATACATTTCAAATCCATTGCAACGGAGGAATTGAATAGAAAAACTACGTGAACTCTCTCATGAAGCCCTCTCGTGGTGAGCAGACCTCGGCATTGGCGTTTAGCTTCTGAACACACACATTGCTGCCATCGTGCGCAAGAAGAGACTAGAATTGCATCGCGAAGTGCCCGGTAATTTGACAAAGTTACACTGCTGAGATTATTTTATTTCAAGATTAAAAAAAAAACCCGCTAGACTTGTAAAAGTGTTCAGTTCTTCTCAGCGCGACTAAAAGATGTCTCTTTTTTGCCTTTTTAATCTTTGAAGCGCACGCGTACAATAGCCGCTTTGTACAACTCCACATGCCTCCTAAATAGTAGAGGAGGGGTGGGGGGGGGGCGCAGCAGGGGGTCCCCAAAATGACAAGTCATTTAAGGTGAGGAAGAGACAAAAAATGTGGGGTACTAGGTGCAGAAATACACCCCTGAGTGACAGATTTAGAGCAACACGTTGGCAGTACATGATACTTCATTTTATAAAAATGCCACTAAATTATAATCCCATCGTTGTGGTTACACGGCATGGATGAGATGTTTAGTTCTTCACCCAGTTTGGCCTTTTCCAGGGCTTTTGATTGATCGTGTTATCTGCCGTGGCTTTCTGTATTTACGAGCAAAGCAAACACGACACGATATTGCAATTATCGTAATTGCAGTTGCACGTGATCATAATTGACAGGGGTGAATTTACGCGCGCGAGAGGTCATCTGTGCTATCTGGCCTGCATACACAATATGTTGGCTGGCTGCCTGCCGGCTGGCTGGCTCAGAGGCCGCATGCGCTGGGGAGGTACTGTGGAGATCTTGGGTTCGAACCCAGGCAGCCGCCCGTTATGATGAAACCCGGATTCTCATGTGGTGAGCTGACGGTGTCAGCTAGGTCACCAATAAAATGAAAAAGTGGTTCGCTACTTAATCCGGTTAACCTCCAGCTCTGCGAAGTACAACTATTAAATGACGTGACGAACACTAGTCAATAGCAGGGAATGTGGATACGAGGTCACTGAAATACATCGTTCGGAAGTAGCTCAGTGAATCCTGCTTGTGCGGGCCATTCTCACACGGGGGTTGCACTGCTGTGTGTGGACCAGAGGTCGTTTTAAGGTGTCTCGGACGTAGTTCTGTGATATCCACTTCCTTCGGCCTTTCTCAAAAAAGTGAAGGGCTGCACTGACTGCTCTTGGTGCGAATCGCACAATCAGGATGGAAATTGGGGGAAAAAAACATGCATGTTGATGCATTGATATGCAATCCTCCTGCATATGAAGCATGCAATGATGCATCGATTAATCGATTGAAATTGATGCATATACGCTCGATGCACACCAAGAACTATAAATAAAATGTAGTGGCATTTTTGTAGCCACAATATGATGTTCTGCCAAAACGAATGTATTATAATGTACGTGAATTGTATGCAAATAATTTACTGTTACAATGATGCTAATGCATATGAACTATAGAAACGGATAAATCTGTTCAAACGTAGCAGTATACGTTCGATCAAAAAGAATTGCGATTCTGAATCGTGACAAATTCAAAGCATTCTTCCACGGCAATCTTTATAAGAGAGAGCGCATTAAAGTTCTCCCCGTAATCTCTGGGTTTCAACTGTGTTGTCATGCACCTAATTGGTGTCAACGCTGTCTAACGGAGAGCAATATAGTCCTTTTTAACATCGACCAGGCTTGCAGAGGTGAAGAGTTCAGCATAATATTCTCAGGCGATTCTAATTTTTTAAAATTTATTTTGTAACATCACATGCAACACAGTGGCCCCCTGGGAAGCCACCGTTTCAAACCCTAAGGGACGGGAGGGGGAATTTCGTGGTAGAGCATTGAGCCGAGGCAGGCCGGCAACTGTGCACTTAAAGGCGACGTGGGTGCTGTTAGAACCGCAAGAGCGTTCAAAAGATAATTGAAAAGGCACGCAGAGCGGCGAATCACCTGATTGCAGCAGTTGCTCACGATTGACGATCATTTTCGACTTAAAAAGAAAAGCAAAAAAAAAGCCTCGTAATGCTGCGGGACTTTAGTTCGGGCGAGTCGCGACACACTAGTTTGTAGGCTGAATTTAAACAGCGCAAAGATATCTTCTTGGTTCTTTCGGTAAAGTCACGTAGAAGGGAAGTAATAAAATGATAAAATAATAAAAATAATACGATAATTATCTTCACATGATGACGGCTGCTTGCGTTGTGGCCCGAAACGTCGTGAGAATTATTTTATTATGTTTTATTTTTTATTATTTTATTACTTCCCTTCTACGTGACTTTACCGAAAGAACCAAGAAGAGGAATCCCTGCAGTCACGAAAGCTTTAAATCGAAATTTAAGCGCAAATATACTTTTACGCAACCTGTAGGGGAAAAGGCGTGCATGTTTGTGGTACACAAACTAACAAACAATTACTTATGGAACTCTCGCCTGCGACCCCGTGAAACTAAATAATTATATAAACGTGCGTCAGGTTTTTAACCTGACATCAACATCTAATACTGGTAGGAACCTCCTGGTTACACCAGCCCACAGGGGATTATTGTGTCCGTCGTGCAGGGAGGGGCTGGGTGGGGAGGGAGGAGCTGGGTGGGGAGGGTGGGGTGGGGAGGGGCTGGGTGGGGAGGGGCTGGGAGGGGAGGGTGGAGAGGGGCTGGGTGGGGAGGGTGGGGCTGGGTGGGGGGTGGGAGGGTGGGGTGGGGCTGGGTGGGGAGGGGCTGGTCACCCCGTGGTGCCTTTATAAAACTCAACTTTTAACCTACTTACGCCGGCTTGTGCCCGCCCTCACAGTCGGGCATATTTGCGGAATACACCACGCCGCCGTTGACCCTGGTCATTGACCGAGCAACCCAACGTTCCTACCAGCTCCCTCCGCAGGAATGTGTTATTGTTCAGTGTATCAATTGATTGGACTTTGTGATTTTTAAATTCCTGGAGCATTTTGTGAGGAAAAGTATGGACTGGAATTGCCCATCAGGGTCTTCTCGGCAGGGTCAGGGTTTGCTCAATGAGACCTAAACTCATGTTCTTTTTTTTTGCCACGAGTATTTTTGTTCACCTGCTGAAATGGCCCCATCGTTCAGATGGAGTGCACTCACCAATAGCATCAGTTCACTCAGATGGAAAAAAGCCTGTTCAGAATCGGGTCGCTTGAACCAAGCGCTCCTGGGATTAAAGTAGAGGTCTACAAGGTCAGTCGGACTGTGGACTACACACACATTTCAGTTTTTTTTTTATCTGGAGATGCAGAATGCAAGACAATGTGTTTATAATGTGTGCATAATGTTTTTTTTTTTTTACACAGTCTGAGCACTGCAAAGAGAGGGCCTTGTACATTGACAGCTTGCCTAACGAGCAGTCTTCCGAAACTATCGCGGCTAAGTTTTTCTTTTTTAACGCAAGTTTAGAAAACATTCTTTTAAGATGTAAAAATAAAAAAGTGCGCCGTTAAACTCCGAACCTGCTGTTATCTTGACGTGTTTACATGGTTCACGCCAAAAAATAAGAAACCCAGCACAGTGCAGTGTGGGAAATCCAAGCCGGCATCAACTTGAATGCAGCCTCGTTATCGCAACGCTGCGTTTTAGTGCCTTAGGTGCCACGGCCAAAATACCCAGAGGGACATCGGAGCACATTTTTCTTCCTTTCACAATCGTGTGTACATATGCATATGCCTAAAAGGGCACATAGCCTGGCACAAGTGCCGTGGTGACTTCACCGCCACTTAAACTAAAAACTTATCCATTTTTAATTTTTTTTTTTACCAGGTAAGACCGACTCAGCTCTATAGCTCTATTTCAGAAGCGATCTGGGCACACATGATAGCTCAACGAAGTGGCTTATCAGGTGGAAATTTATAGCAGCCAAACACTCTAAACGCACGTTGATTCTAATTGCGGAGGGGAAACGGAGGACCCGGAGAAAAATCCACGCGACCACGGAGAGAGAGACACACAAACTCCAAATATACAGCAGGTGTCAGGGTCGGGATCGAACCCATGACATCCTGTATACCAGGCGAGGTAGTTAACATCTCACAATGTTGAACTTCTTTCGCACCGTACGTAGCCACTCGTGTTAATCCAAGGTGCAGGAAACATCCATGAGATAACTATAGCGGGAAGTTATGTGGATAGTTGTCCAGAAACTCCCTTCCCACAGTCATCCGTGCTGTAGGCTCCCTGCGCCTGTTAAAACCAAGGCTTACGGCTCTCTTTCCTCTAGCGTATGACTGCCTCTTTATATCGAAAGATAAACATCGCCCCTGTTTATGTGTACAGTATCGTGAGGTGCAGTCGCATGCCGGACGTTATATAAACACAAATTGTGTTGGCTCCCATCAAGAACCCATACGTAGACTCCAAGACACACATTTCATGGTAGGCAGTATGCACTGATTTACTGATTAAAAGCGTTCTTCTATTCGTTAGATATCTAGATATGTGGATGTTTATCCTTCATGTAAACCGAGTCTCACCATTGGAACCTCATTTGCCAGTAGAAAAATATGATAATTGTTTTTTTTACTCTTTTTTTATGGCAACAAAACTGACACCTTTTTTTTTTGGTCCAACACCATGTGAGACTAGGCTCTAAGGAAAGCTGTCTCGGGTGTGGACCAATCAACTTCAAGGACAGTGCATACATTATCAGAGTTATGTTTTTGTTTGCATTCCGACTGCAGGTATTGTTGTCTATGCAAACATGACTCCTTGTAAAAAAAAAGGTGTCAGTTTTATTGCCAGATAAAAGGGTAAAAAACCAATTATCAAACCGAGTCTCCTTCACAAGAGAGCGAAACAATACATTAAGAGTAAACAACAATAATGCAGAATTAATTCTCATCCGAGACACATTTTCATCTCCGGCACAGGGTATAGCTCCAAAGAAATTACATTCATAACGACCAAGCAATGAACACAACACATTCCCAGAGTCCTTTATGGGGACGTGCACGTTTGAATGTTACCCAAGGGACACGCAGATAACAGGTACAAAGTGCCAATGTATTGGACATTACGTCGACAAAAATCGTTTTCGCCATGAAGCATCTCTGAACAATACGTAGAAAGATATGTAAATACGGACACCAACAATCGCCCCCAGCAGTGACGCTTCAATTAAAAAACAACCCAATTGAACGCAGTCTTCAGGACAGCATCCGCGGTCGTGTGAAAAAAGTGCACGAGACATTTCACCGCGGAAATGGCTCGAAACACCGACTTGTTTAAAGTGGAACATTGCCAATGCAATTCATCACATTCTGTCCAGCGTCACACTCTATGGCCAGTGGTTCTTAACCTTTTTGGAGGTACCGAACCCCACCAGTTTCATATGCGCATTCACCGAACCCTTATTAATTGGAAAAATAAAATATGATATTTTCAAATTCAAAACATGTTTTACTGGTGCACAATCATATGATATCGGGTGTGTGTCTTAACCTCCGCCGAACCCCTGAGACTGACTCACCGAACCCCTGTGGTTCGATCGAACCCAGGTGAAGAACCACTGCTCTATGCGTTGTCGCTGTTGTTGACAACACACCCGTGTTGTTAAACAAGTGGGGGGAGCGGTTATTTTTCCGAACCACAATTCTCCCCCCTCTGGCGTTTTTAATTCAATTCCGAATAATTTTTCGTTTTCCCCCCCCCACCAAAAAAATGAACAGACGTCAAATCCAATAATTTTCCCACAGAGCGAATATTTACTTTCATAAGTATGGCCGTGTGCCTTTCCAAAAAATACAAAATAAGTGTCTAATAATAAAAGCGCTTATTTTTGTGTGCGCCCGCGTGTGACTTTGGCGTCGCGGTGGAAATCGAGAGCGGTGGTACCGCGGTTAGCACGCTGCCGCTATGAGCCTGGAAACGCGAGTTCGATTCTCAACCACGAACATGATCTGCTCCTCCTCTAGGTAAAGTCAGCCGAACATGAGTACCTGGGGCACACCACAGCCACTCGTGCGCCGTGCCAGCCTTAATCGGTGATTGCTGGCAGCATTCAACCCCAACAGTCTTTGACAGCCCAAAACAAGCCTCTACAAATGGGTCTTTCATCTGCTTGGTTCTTTCGGTAAAGTCTTTCCGACAGACCTGTTCTTCACCTGAGGATGGCTGCTTGCGTTGTGGCCGAAACGTCGTGAGAATTATTTTATTATGTTTTATTTTTATTATTTTATTATTTCCCTTCTACGTGACTTTACGGAAAGAACCAAGAAGATGAATCCCTGCAGTCACGAAAGCTTTACATCGAAATGGGTCTTTGTTTCGTTATTGTACGTCAATCATACTGATCATAGGTGGCACGGTGGTGAGATGTTAACTACCTTTCCTGGTATACGGGAGGTCGTGTGTTCGATCCCGACGCTGATGCCTGTAAATCTGGAATTTGCGTTTTCTACCCATGATCACGTGGGGTTTCCTCTGGGTCCCCCGAATTTTCCACTCCACATTTAGAAAGATACGTTTCGGGTATCTGTCTGGTATAGTCTTGCACATGATAAGCCACTTCGTTGAGTTATTATTTCCAGCCAGGCCACTTTTGACAAAGAGCTGTATAGCTCAATTGGCCTTACCTGGTAAAATAAAAAGCTTAGTTTAGTTTATTGAAATGGTGGTGGCGTATGCCTGTAATTTAGTACTGTGAAGGCAAGGATTGGTGGATCACACACATATTGTCGTGAAACTCCCTTCCCATGGGCATCGAAGTGCTATACTCTGGCTTGCCAGGATAATACAGCTCACCTGTTTCATCTGTATGAGATAGAGGTTTGTCCCATCGCACGTGTGGGTGGGTGTTCTTCGGGTGCTCCGGTTTCCTCCCACATTGTAGACAATCGATAATTGGCCAATAAAAACTTAATATATAGAGGACTGCAGAGCTTGGGGCTGGCGGGGTAGTTTGGCACCGGCTCACCACGTGGCAGCCTTTCCTGCTTGTCTGGTTCCTCGCGTCTCGTTATTTATCTTCAAGAGTGAGCGAATAATACTGGGCGCGTTACAAAGTGTAAATCGTTATATCGACTCTGTATAAAAGGGCAATTGGAGCATTGATTAGAAAAACGAACTATTGTCGGGGAAGAATATGAATAGACAAATGTTCCACCAGCTATGGTCAATCGCAAACTGTGTTTTTTTTGTTGCCACGTACGTGACATCCTTTCTGGCTGAGCGATAAACCCGGATTGGACCGTATCTGTGTGCGCGTGGGTGAGTGCTTCGGCAGGCAAAAAAAAATCAAGCCATCTCTTATGTTTTTTTGACTTCACAATCTCGTCAAGGAGTGTAAACCACAACACGAACTCCGGTCATCCTCACTCCGGCTTTTGCCTATCCATCGAACAAAGACGGTCACTGCACCGCGTGTTTTCAGACACGCTTCTGTGGCCGTCTGGAATGCTCTTCCTTCCGATATTAGGAAGCCACCGGAGTTTTGCGCTTTTACATAATCTTGATTGTAAATTCATTTCTTTAGAACCGCTTTTTGCGTTTAGTTTGTTGTCCTTCCCTGCACATCCGATTTGCACGGTTGGCTACGCACAGTGCGAAATAAGTTTATACATACAAGTCAGTGAGGCTTTACTGGATGAAGAATGTGTGGTAGCTATCGTGGCTTACCTCACTACCTTGGTGCCGTTCCTCATGAGCTGCATGTCCACCATACAGCCGGTCTCCGTGTAAGCGGCCAGGTTGATCTCAGAAAACTCCGCCTGCAGTGGAAAACGCCCCAAAAAAAAGTATACAAGTTTAGAAAAAAATTGCATGGCTATCGTTGAAACAGCCAGTCGATCGACAGGTCGCGCGCGTCAGGAGTTTGGTGTGTGCACCCCCCACCTCTTCCAAGTTGTCCGGCTAGCATGCAAGAGGAGAAACCCTGCAGAGGGATTCTCCAGAATTCCCTCTAGCGGAGGCCAGCGGTGTTGTGAGCCGTTGCAGGGATGTATCCTTAACCCACTGAAACAGCCACCAAAAAAAAACTGGGCTGAGTCATTGCGAATAATTTGTTTTATTGTATTGCATCGTGCGACCGTGCGAGAGACGGCCGAAACCTTGGGGGAGGCCTTCATCCAACAAGTTGATAGGTCGTGATGACGATGCATGCAGATTTGTAAACTCGTCGGGCTAGGATGTTTTTAAAATTAATAGTCATACATGCAAAAAGGTGTTTCAGAAAGCAAATGAACAACACAAATTCCCAGCATGCTCTGCATGTCAGTGTTACATCACAAGTCTTGCAATTATTATCTGTACACAGCCTGCGTTGGCCAGGAATTCTAAAGGAACGTCACAGTACACAAATTGTAAACGTTGTGGGCTTACTCTCCAACACACCGGTGTGCTGAAGTAGTAACGAATTGACACGTTTTGTTTACATGACGAACCTTACTAATTGGCTGTGTCGGGTGGTGGTGGGTTAACGACATATTTATTTGTACGATATCTAACCTATACAACCTTTATTACAAAACAAATTGGTCGCGACAGTTCGTGAGAGCTTAAAGTGTGGCCTCTTCGTGTTACACGGTAGCAGGACAACAAGAGAATTGTATACCGGTATCATCCTTATTAGAACTCATGAACACAGTTTCACCATTACTGCCTCGTTAGTCAGAGTAACGGCTTGCAGTTGGCTTTTAAGTTGTTGCAATCAAAACAAGAAAATAAATCCACACACAAGTGCACGCACACTACCTCCTGAGATGGAACCAGCTGTGCAACAACAACAACAAAACAAATTAACCCGTAAAAACAAAGTTTTTCACTATAAATCCTTTATATGCGTGGCGCCTAGAGTCCTCTCGTCCTCTGGCTTGAGATGGCTGCCACCTATGGGTCAGATGATTGCCTGCCACCATTAAGCAATTGGTAATTAAATATAATTTATTTTTTCCTAAAAAGTGTAAAATTTAGGGAAAAAAATTTCACGAAAATAAATTGTCACGCACAACGAGTCTGTGTGCAAAATGTCAGCTCGATTGGATCACGGGAAGTGGGTTAAAAAACGACCGAAAGATTTGCACGGTCGTAAGCGCGCAAGCAAGCAAGTGAACTTAATATAAAGGATTTAAAAAGAGATAACATCGCTTTGAAACAAGTTCCTTCGAGTTGTGCTCTCCATTAACGAAACATGGCTAAAGATTAAAAACACTACGGAGGTTCTACCCACGTGCTCAGGCATGACTCCAAGGAATGCCAATGAGCGAGCACATTCACTCACTTTGGCTCGAGTCACGTGCACCGAATACTTGGGCCGTTCTGGGACTCGGGGTTCCATTAAGGCCAGCTGTTTGACCACAACAAACACATGTGGTGTATTCCCACGCCATCGGTGCTGGAGGAGTATGAATTTGTGGTCGCTGTTAGAAAGCTCATTTGTGATAATGTGCCCATTATTGGCGTGGTGCAGACGCCCATTTTAATTTCGAGAAGCAAACGTTCTAGTTGTGGGTTTATAAACAAACAAACAAGTACACACAATGCACAAGGTGGCCGGGTGTTTCTCAGAGGTCAGAGTGCTGTGGGTTGTTTCCAGGCATCTGCCCGTGATTAAACCAGGTCTCCTTGCGGAGTGATGGTCTCAATCTGTCACCAATCTCCTTAGACAGCCATCTGCCTCGTCGGTCGTCGTTCTACACCCAGTTGCCCACAGTCCTACACTCGAGCCCCTTTGGGCAGAGGTCGCAAACGGGTTTTGATTCCTTAACCATACCCGTACCCGGCCGCACCAGGGTCACAAACGGGTACCCGATACCCGTACCCTACCCGATACCCGGCTACCCGTACCCGGCCGGGTATCGGGTAGGGTACGGGTACCCGATTGCGACCTCTGGGATGAAGCCATGTTGCAGGCATGGGTGGGTTGATTCTAGGAACTTGAATCCTGAGAAGAGACAAGACGTTGGGAAATGAGTGACAAACGGTGACTCACCAGTGACTCACGGCCTACCCGTACCCGGCCGCACCAGGGTCACAAACGGGTACCCGTACCCGTACCCGGCCGGGTACGGGTAGCCGGGTATCGGGTAGGGTACGGGTATCGGGTACCCGGTTGCGACCTCTGCTTTGGGTGACTCAGGTGAGCATGGTTGGGGGGAGGGGGGCCGGGGGGGAATAAGAAAGATTTCTGACAGACCTTGGGGAGTTCGGATGTCGACTTTGCAAGAGCTGTGGAGTCTAGCGGAGGAGGGGCAGCGATGACGAGGTGTGATGTCATCAACGGCATTGGCCCTGTTGACCTCTTGACATTGACCCCTGAGCATGAATGTGAAAATTGCGTTACCGGTAAGGGCAATGGATGTGGTTGCTTAGAAACGAGAGTTTTTAGTGGCCCTCCAAAGAATGGGAGAATGTCATCGGAGCCAATGTACTGGCATTGAACTCGAATTGCTAATTGTTTTGAAACATCACTAGTGAACAATCGAGTATGTTTGTTACAACAAAAAACTCAAATATATAGTCGGCTGATATTTCACGCAAATGCCCTTCATCAGAGTATAGAGAGAGAGAGGGCAGAGAGATTTATTGTTGGAGATCACACATTATACTGGGGGGGCTGTGAGAAAACTGGACCATTTGAATGCATTTGGAACATTTTGATGATTTTCATTCATGGTTTGTGTACCCATACCATTGCAGTTTTCCAGTCACACCCAATTATTTTTTGGGGGTAAAACGCAACTACGTTACTCTACTGAAAACAACTGAAAGAGAAGAAAATGCGAATAGATAGATATATATTTTCAATAACTGATTATCATGAAAAAAAACTAAAGGAAACACGTGTTGGCATAAAAATGAATGTAAATCTTCACCCAATGGCCAGCACGGTTATTTACGATACCCTGCACCGACTGTTACGGCCATCACTCAACGAGGCGTCTAAACGCGTTACGGGTGGATTTTATGACTCACAGTCCTAGCACTGGTTTATTGAAAGGAATACACTGATGAGCTATGCATCACTTGCCCAGTAACTTCACGTGGCACTTTCTCTGGAAAAAAAATGCACCATGTTCGTTTTTTTTTCTCCATCCAAAATCAAGTGTGCAGGCGGTGCAACTGCAATGGGGCCCCACGGATCAGAGGGGCAGAGCCACTCAGAGGAAGTGGGAGAGGGACATTTTCTTCCGTGACTTACACAAAAGAGGGCCCAACATACGGGCCTGGTTTTTTTTCGTCGCTCATAAATAAGATGACCCCATGTGGAATTCTTCCCCGACCCTCTAGCCCTGAGCTTCCAGAAACATCTGGGCTGCCCTGTGAAGGAACGCAGGGGCCAAGCTACGAAGAGAATTCGAATTGGACAGGAAGGCGGCGGGAGGGGGGAGGGATTTTTATTCATTGTGCTAGGGTGCATGCCAACCACGCTCCACCACTGCGAGAGAGAGAGTTGGCTGCGAACACCCGTTCAGCGAAGATCAGCAGGGGGATGTGGATGACCAAACTGGGCTTCCGCCAAAGGCGTTGATCTTTTTTATTGCAGCGGAGCAAATACGTCACCGCGATGCCATAAAATACTCGGAGATGTTTCCAATGCACCTACGGCGTACAATTAAAACAGGAGATGGTGTTAGCAGCCCACACACTTACAGCGGACACGTACAAATCGCGTCGTGCTTGGCAATGTAAGCGTTTACGTACTTTCATTTAGGTTCAATAACAAACATCCTAGTATACGGAGCGGTGTCTGTAATATGTAGTCTACATAAAGTTACATACAGTGGGAGGCATTCAGCCTGTCGGTATTCGGGGGGTACATTCACATGGATTAAGTATCCTGTAGATCCCATCTGCCATACTTTGGTTACACCCTTGGCCATAACTCAGGTTATACTGGTAGGAACCTCCTGGTTACACCAGCCCACAGGGGATAATTGTGTCCGTCCGTCATACAGGGAGGGGCTGGGTGGGGAGGGAGGGGCTGGGTGGGGAGGGGCTGGGTGGGGAGGGTGGGGCTGGGTAGGGGGTGGGGCTGGGTGGGGAGGGGCTGGTCACCCCGTGGTGCCCTTATAAAACTCAACGTTTAACCTACTCACGCCGGCTTGTGCCCGCCCTCACAGTCGGGCATATTTGCGGAATGCACCACGCCGCCGTTGTTGACCCTGGCCATTGGGGAGGGTGGGGAGGGGTTGGGTAGGGAGGGTGGGGAGGGGCTGGGTGGGGAGGGTGGGGAGGGGCTGGGTGGGGAGGGTGGGGCTGGGTGGGGAGGGGCTGGTCACCCCGTGGTGCCCTTATAAAACTCAACGTTTAACCTACTCACGCCGGCTTGTGCCCGCCCTCACAGTCGGGCATATTTGCGGAATGCACCACGCCGCCGTTGTTGACCCTGGCCATTGACCGAGCAACCCAACGTTCCTACCAGCTCCCTCCGCAGGACAATGTGTTTACACTCCTCCTCACCACCATCATCGGCTATGAGCCCCGAGTTGTTGGCATTTCTCACGGACTTGTGATGCAAAAATTACATCCAGTACTTGCACATGAGCTGATGTTATTGTTCCATCTCTGCGGTGGACGCACTTTCGGGTACGATCCCTTCTTTGCCTGCGACTCCGTCGTAGGTCTCGACCACAGGCCCCTTTGTAGCGGCGTGTCCAGTGCAAACCCCACTTGAGTTTTTTTATAGTTTTTTTTTATTGAACAAGTTTGAAAACTCATTTCTTTAGAACTGCTTTTTAGTGTTTAGTTTGTTGTCTTTTGCTCCCACACC